GCCAGAGTTCAGAGAAATCTCATGGACATATTTTAGAAAACACTTAGTAAAAACAGTGTAGAGATAACTTTCAAGAGTGAAAAGATTTTCAGGAATAGAAACAGTTTTGAGAAACTACTAAGAGTGGAAAACAGTTTTTGAAATCAATTCTGAGAAGAACAAATATTCAACATACAATCACACAGACTTGGAATGCCCAGAATCACAACCATTTAACAGGCAACTTTACAAACAAAGGTAAGGGGGCTGGGAACATATAGAGCTCACATCAGGGACACATGATCAGGGTGCAAGGGGGAAGCATATGGACGACAAATGCACAGAATAATTAGGAGTCTACAGATTCAGAGACCTAACAGGTTAGTCATTATAATAGGCAATTAAGGCATAGAGGCAGAGTGTAGGAATAGTCATGTTGAAGACAGAGGTGCATTGGACAGGATTAGCTATACAATTAGGGTCAATCAAGTACATTAGGAGACTAAGTTACTAACATAATCACACCAATTGAAAGGAGTAAACAGAGACTAATAAACATGTTGGCCGAGTATCCAACAAGCAAGTGAGACCCAGACATGTTGATTACACGTTTGAACAAGAGAAGGCAGAATTTAGACATGCTGAATAAAGCAGTGAACGGGAAGACAAATTGAATACATAGCCAATCGAACTAGTGCAGGAATAGATTTATAGACATGGAACACACAGAGTTTGAGTTTCAGAATTGAACTAGGGACATACCAGTTTAAAGAGGCAAAGTGCAGAATGTAAAGCAAGTATAATGCCACTATCTAGCCTTGACTTTCAGCCGGCTAGACCAATAGTCAGCACAAGTAGCAGAGAAAGAAGAGAGAGTTTGAGTGTGTGTGTGTGTGTGTGTATTCTGAACTAAGCGTTTGTCTGTTGAGAGGTGTAACAACAGTGTATATATAGCAGTTTAAGAGTAGAACAAAATTAGGTAAAGGAATCAGCATCAGTCAATTAAGGAAATCATAGGATCACAGAATCCAATCACATAAAGGAGTTCAGAATAGACCCCTAATTAGGGGTAATTGATCAAACGGTAATAACATGGGTCTAATTAAGTTAAGAATCCCAATCATACCATGTAAAGGACTCAGTAAGAATCCACAATTATACGGGCAATCAAATAAGGCAGGGATGACCAATTAAGGTCATAAACAAGGAAACACACAAGATTTATGCATACGGATCTCTAACAGAGTAAATCAATCAGCCAAAACTTTCAAAATAACACTGATTTCCGGAAAGAAATACTCAACTTCCATAAACAGAAATTAGGCTAAGTAAAACCTCACAAAAATATAGAAATTAGCCGGAGAAACAGATTCGAACCCTAATAGAGATTAATTAGGGCAAAAACCACAGAATAGTGGATTTGACAAAGAAAAAATGTGTAAGTCAAAAATACAGAGTAAATTAATACTATTGGAAACATAGAAAGACTCAAAATCGAAGCAAAGGTTAGAAAAATCAGAGTATCACACAAAATCAACTAAGGTTTAATATTTTTTGCACAAATCACTCACGAAGACGAAAAATAATTAATCAAACACTTAGGAGTCAGAAAAACCTTTGAAAAGTAACTAGGGATGAACCCTAGTTTTGGGGAAAAGTCGGAATAATCAGTTAAAATCAGAAATTCTTAAAGAAGAACAGGTAATAGTGCTTGATTCAGCTCAAATCTATACAGATCTGAGAAGGATCGAAGGTAATAGACTAGGGTTTTCAGAAAAGTAATAGAGATGCGAGAATAGGTCAAGAGACCATAGATTCGTAACAAAACAAAAGGAAATTCTTACTCACAGTCGAGAAAATGGCCTGAGATGGGCTAACAAGAAAGGTTTCAAACCAGAACCGGTGGGTTCCTTGAGATCGTCTCAAGGATATAAGAAGTCAAAGAGCCATGGTGCGTAGAAGGTCAGGACCGGCCGGAGAAGACATGGAAACATCACAGGATTGAGATATAAGCCGGTGACGGCGTTTAGAACTAGGGTTGGGTCGAGAGAGTTGAGAGAAGAGGGGAGTGATGACAGCGGGTGAGAGGAGTGAATGAGAGGGTTTTGGGGGGGGGGGTTAGGTCTAGGTTTAATTAAGGAAAAGGGAATATGGACCGTTGATCTGGATTATCAACGGTCAGGATTGAATGGGGGTATTGGGTCGGGCAGGTGTGTATTTGGGCCTAAAGGGATTGGGCTAATTTTAAAAGGGGTTTTGGGCTGCTCTTTTGGGTTAAATCTGAAAACAAAAGGGGCTATTTATTAAATACCTAGATAATTGAGTAAAAATTAATTTATAAAATAAATAATAAATTATAAAAATAATTTTCATGCATAGAAATAATTATTCGATATTTTAAAAATACAACGGACCATTTTATAGTAAAATAATGCAATAATGTATGCTTAGGCTATAATTGCAAAGTTGTTGCAATTATAACCGAAAAGTGTAAATCTGACCATTTATGAAATAATTTAAACTTAATATGACTATAAATAGTAAAATTAAATCAAGAAATGTTATGAAGTCATTTGTGATGCAATTTTGTAATTGTTTACATAAATAAAATACTACGATAAATTAATTTAAAAATGTAAAAATTATGAAAAAATATCATTTGATGTTAATGCATAGTTTTGAAGATATATATGCATTTTGAAAAATAATATACGGAAAAATTGGGTATCAACAACAAGAACATTATGTTCAGAGACTTCTTAAGAAGTTTGAATATTTTAATGTCACATCTGTGAGCACTCCTTTTGATGCTAACTCTAAGTTGAAAAATAATAATGGTGACCCAGTTGCTCAGTCTAAATATGCTCAGATTATTGGGAGTCTGATGCATTTAATGAATTTTACAAGGCCTGATATAGCCTATGCAGTGTGTAGACTGAGTAGATATACTCATAATCCCTACAGAGAGCGTTGGTCTGCATTAGCTAGACTAATGAAATATTTGAGAGGAACCATGAATTATGGTATCCTATATAATGGATTTCCTTCTACTTTAGAAGTGTACAGTGATGCAAACTGGATCTCTGATTCAGATGAGACAAAATCCACTAGTGGTTATGTATTCACCCTTGGTGGTGGTGCAATATCGTTGAAATCAGCTAAACAGACGATCATTGCTAGATCGACTATGGAATCAGAGTTTGTAGCTCTGGAGTTAGCTGGTTCTGAGGCTGAGTGACTAAGAAACTTCTTAGCTAATATCCCTTTAATAAAGGACGTATTGCCTCCTGTGTCTATGCATTGTGATTGTCAAGCGGCAATAGCTATTGCAAAGAATAAATCTTATAATTGTAAAGGTAGACACATGAAATTGAGACATGATGTCATAAAGCAGCTGCTGAGAGATGGAATAATTTTCATTGATTATGTGAAGTCAGAAATTAATTCGGCCGATCCTCTGACTAAACCAGTAGGAAGAAAATTAATTCTTCAAACCTCAAAAGAGATGGGGTTAAGGCCGACATGTTGTCAATAGAGATGGTAACCCAACCTATGTGATTGGAGATCCCATGAAGTAGGTTCATGAGTAATAACAAGTCGATATTGGCACTGATGCACTAAAAGAGAGTGCTTGACTGCTACTAATTGAGAGGATGAGTTATAACTCTTAATGAAATTCATAGTCCTTATGGATGGTGTATTTAAAAGCAGTATACACTTGATGAATTCACCTATTTGAGAGTGGAGTGAGCCGCTCCTATGAGATTTTGGCCTAGTCTCTAGAGCTCTCTTGAATAACCAGGCACGCGCATGGCCTATTGGGCGCAAAACCGCATTGAACAGCAAAATTACCGGGGGTTAGAATGTAATTGATAAAATCTCTGACTTACAATAAGAATTATTGGTTCATAGAAATATTGTATTTCACCAGTAATTTTGTGAGTTAAGTTTTATTGGTCTAAGTTTGGTTCATAGTCCTGAAGACACCAAACCTATTACATTTAGACCATGCAAATCCAACAAGTCTTACTCTTTCCTACTCCGTGTTCTTAAACAAAAAAAAAGAGTCTTTTGATGTGGGGGATTGTTGATAATTGTTGGTAATGTGTCAAAAGACTTTTTACATGTGGCATTGATTTAGAAGATTGTGTGACAAATGACTCTACTAAGCCAAGTGGCTATGAATACCGACCATATGGCATTTTGCATGAAGATATGTAGCCAAATGGCTAAGCCATAAACAAGTGGCAATCGTCTTTCATGCAATCAAACATTTGGCAATTTAAGAAGACCCCAAGTACCTCTATAAATAGCCTTCTTGTCATCCGTATGAAATCAACAAAAATTGGTCTTCTTTACACTTTCTTAGCTATCATTGCTTTCTTCTTTAGCTAATCATTTCTGTAATTATTATTCCCACTATTGACCAAATCATTACCTCTTGTTATTATTTCTCCCCTCCAGTTTATTCTAACTTGCTGGATTTATTATTTAATTTTGCTGATTCCTGTATCCTTTAAATAAATAGAGATAGGCTTGTTTAATCCTGAGAAAACATTTCACATTGCTGAAATAGTTTCTTAGGACAGCGCCTAGCACGACTCAAGCCAATTCGTGTGTATGCTTACAAATAATATTATTGCAGTATTATTATTGTTATTTTCCGTGTCATTTCCCTACATTTTCTATTAAAAAAGTAAAATAATTTCTAATAAACAAAGATATACTTCTAGACATTGTTAGAACACAGAAATGTCAAATTGTAACATATTCTAGAATCAAAATAACATGAAATAACAATATAAAAAAATTTCTTAACATAAAGTAATGTTCTTGTCATCATAATATGGGATTAATCATAATCTGACGTTTTAATTTCACTAGCGACTGTAATAGCCGAATTTGCAAAAAAAAGAGTTTTTTTTTTAAAAAAGAAGAGGTTTAATTATTATTTTTTATTAAACTAACGCTGGAAAAGAAAAATCAAGTTCTTGTACAAACGCAAATTATTTATTTTTTCTTCAACACCTAAACATCCTACCTATTTCCCTTAAACGTTGATCAGACCAAATCTTCCCGCGTGGGTCCCACATTTTTCATCCATCTTCTCCTCCAATTTTCCGCTGATTTCTTCAAAACTTTTCTTCGTCTTCTGCCTCTTCTTCCCTAAGCAAGAAAAATGGGAATTTCTTTGAGTAAAAGGCAACAAAATCATCACCTCCACCACCACCCTCCTCCGCCACTACCGCCACCGTCTTCTTCCATTCCTCCGCCCCTCCCTCCTCTTACACCACCTCCCCACCCAAGCTACTCCTTTCCTCCAACTACTACAACACCACCTCCCCCCTCGCAAAACCCCTATCCTTTACTCCCCCCGCCCCCACGCCATAACGTGGTCCCGACTTACCCTCCACCACCACCTCCTTCTAATTCTTATAATTACCATTTCAGTTTCAATCATCAGTCCAGTTATGGTAGTAGTAGTAGGCCTGTAGTCTATCAAAATCATTACCCTCCTTATTATCATCCTCACGGCAATAATGGATGGGGTGGGTTTAGACCTCCGCCAGCGCCGTTGCCGGTGGTGCCGTATGTGGATCACCAAAATGCAAAGAAGATTAAGAATGATGTTAATGTTCATAAGGATACTATACGGATTCAACTCGATGAGCTCAATAAGGATTCCCATTTGGTTACCTTTACTTTTGATGCCCTTGTTGATGGAAGGTACTAATCATTTTTCCCTCTTGCTTTGATTTCATGGTTCATTTTTATATTAATTATTATGCCTTTGAGTTGTGTAGTTACTACTCTGTAATTTGTTATAGAAATGAGCTTCTAAGGAACCCCTGGAATGGAGGATTCAAAAACATGACTAAATTGAAAATTAATGAGGAATCTGTAATTCTGTAAATGATCTTATGTAGTGGCTGCAAAAATGCTGTAAGTTTATGACTGAATTATGTCTAATTTGGCTTTGATTTAATTATTTGATGGATTGTTGTGGTATCGATTAGAACTATGATCCCTCGATAATATAACATTTATTTTGCTTCTATTATTATATGAGATTAAAACTCAGGGATCGAAGGGATAGTATTGTGTAAAGCTGTGTAAGCCTGATCCAAGTGTTTACCTAAGATTTTAATTTAGGCAATATTTTTGTGTTATCGATCTATGGAATGATATTCTAGTAGTTATGGTGAGAGTCTTGATCCCAAGGCTTGACAAAAGTTTAATTGAAGCTATTATGAGTTGCTCTTTTACATCCTCTTGTCTTGTTCGGCAAAAACTACATGACAATGCTTTGAAGGTCTGCCAATAACTTTGGAAGATAAAAACTTCTAAGTTCAAGGTCTCCACAATAATAACTTAGCTAGCTCAATGAGCCTCATTGAGCTGAACTCTTGGCTAATAATGTTTTAACATCTGAACTAGTATGGTAGCTTTAGCAGGGGTGGAGCTACCTTGTGCAAAGGGAGTCAATAGGCACCTATTCGCCGGAAAATTACACTATGTAGATTAATCATTTTTTTCATATATATATATATATATATATATATGTCTCTGTGTGTGTGTGTTGAATCCCTTGGCTTCTTCGTGTGTTTACTTCTTTATATTTTGACTCTCCTTAGTGGAAATTNTTGCCCCCCCCCCCCCCCCCACAGTGAAAATCCCTGCTCTGTCATTGGTTGGTTTGTATGTAGTCTAAAGAGATCATCTATGAAATATCAATTGACATAAAAATCTGAGTTTATTTTGCTTGAGGTACTGCTTTATTATTGTATTAAGAAAATTGTTGTTTCCTCTTTTTCTTTAAGCCCTCATTTGAGAGGACAAACCCCACAAAAAGATAGATGTTTGGAAGTTCTTCTGGATCAGCCACTTTTTCAAATATCAGATTCCTGGATGGCGACATGCTCATTATATTCTGATTGATTATTAAACCGTATATCTCAGAGAGGTCATATTTCTTTGTGTTAGTAATAATTGCGTGCTTTCATTATCTAAAATTAAGAACATCTCCCACGAAAAGATCAGTCAGGTTAATTTTTGTATTTCTATGAGAAGGTTTTCGGTACGTGGCGCATAACAAATCCTTGTTAAGTAATAGGTTTTTAAGTAGGCCATAGTACTGACCAAGCTTCTCTCTTTTTTGGAGTCACAAACAGCGTGTCAATAGAGCAGTAGTCTTTTGGCTTTCTCTTCAAGTTTTATAGGGGAATGAAGTTCCTGCATTTTCTGTGTTTGGTTTTTCCCAGTTCTCAATAGCAGGGGTAGAGCTAGAGCTTCGACAGCGGGTTCGGTCGAACCCAGTAGTTTAGTCCAAACCATATGTTTGTCTTAAGAAATTTATTGAATAAGTACAAATTCTTTACTTTAGAAGAACCCAGTAACATAAAAATGTTAGAATCCCGAACCTAGTAATTTCAAATCCTGGCTCCGCCGCTGCTTGATAGGGCCTTGTGCAATAGGAATGAGTAAAGTTTGTTTATTTTCTTGTGAAGAACCAGTTCTTTGGGTCTGGCAGAACTGAATATAGATCTTTCTCTTTTGTGACACTGCTAAATTTGCGTGAGTATTTCTGATTGAGGTTTGGCAATGAATCTTGTTCATGAACCTATTTATAATGTGATTGTTTCTCAGCCATTTCGCAGTCTTGTTCGAAAAGTTTTTACTTAATTTTTAGAATATGCTCTGTTGGCATTTTGGTTCCAATGATTGCTTCTTATTTATGTTAGTGATGCTGGTGCTATGCTATCGTAGTTTGGCACTCAGTTGATGTTTCATAAAATAGCATTTACTATTATTTTGACCAAAAAATTTAGAATAACATTTATTTCTTTTCCTTTGTCCTTTTCCTGCAGTATCACCATTTTCTACTTTGCGAAGGAAGGGGCCAACTGCAAATTCAGTCCAGTATATCCTGAAATCAAGCCTGTTCAAATACCATTTGAAAAAGGACTGGGCCAAAAGTTTTGCCAGCCTTCAGGAACTGGAATTGACCTCGGGTTTTTTGACGTCAATGACTTATCAAAGCCAACCCAAGGAGAAGAAATATTCCCGCTTATTATATCAGCAGAGTCATGTTTTCCATCTACACCAATAGATGAGAAGTTTGATGAGCAATCACTGGATAAGTCTCCCCATGCACAAATAACTGAAGCTGTGCTAGTGAAGAATAATGAGGATCATTTCCAAGTGAAAGTGATCAAGCAGATTTTATGGATTGAAGGAGTTCGCTATGAGTTACGAGAGATTTATGGTATCAGCAATTCAGATGAAACTACCGTCAATGATGACGAGTCAGGAAAAGAATGCGTGATTTGTATGACTGAGCCAAAAGACACAGCAGTTTTGCCATGTAGGCATATGGTATGGTCATTACTTTGACAGTTGCTTTATTTCTTCAATATCTCAAGATAACAATATATGATAAGTCTAGAGAATCTGGTGCATATTACTCTTGGCTCATACTTTTATCAGTAACCTGTTCAGAAGTAGTTTTGGATTTTACACCTGTGTAAAGGCGTTCCTCTCAAAAAGGAAAAAAAAAAAAGGCTGATGGCTCTTCTTCTCATAGAGTTTACTGGAGCATACGATGGGCCATAGGTTTTTGTGAACATTGATGATATAGTAGACTTTTGGAAAAACTTGACCATTCCTGATGTCTCTAGTCTGCACCCGCACATCCACTCATTGTTGGTCGTGCTTCTAGTTTGAAAATCTTGTATGAATCTTTAGGTTATAGATGCTGCTTCATTACTTAAGAACAACAAATTAACCCAAAAAAGAAGAACAAACCAATAGTTGCTTTTGCAATTTGGCAGACTTGGTTCTCCCAGTAACATACTGGAGTTCAGTCTTTATTGGAGGTTGACATTGGGGAATATAATGAACTCCAGAGCTGGAGTTGGGGATAAGGCCCTCGAATTTCAAGAGGGGTCAAATGACTACCAAATGCTTTTGATCAATTTTGATAGGATGTTACCTCTATGTTTATTTCTCATTGAAAAAGCTTAAAAAATTCACTACTTCTGGATATATAATTATTGGAAATCTGAAGTATGTGTAAAATTGTACTTCAGTCTCTCACAATACTGAATTAAGCAAGTAGAGTACTAGTCAGAAGAGTTTAAGGCTAAAGAAATGTCTGCCAGCGAGATGTGATCTTTATTAGTCTGCCTTCTGAAGCTTTTGCCATGACTAACCCTCCCTAGTGGACTATATGAATCTATGTGACACATCTATGTCTGCCTTGTGTGCCTGCTTATACACTTTATAGAAAATTTTGTGGAGCTAAAGGTTGACCTATTTCAGCAGATGAAGGTGACCATCTGTAATAATATATTCACGTGAAGACGCTAATGTTTATATAATTTTATAGGTCATTTTCCGCTTTAGCATTTCCTTTCTCAAACACTACCTAATAGGCTAATATTCTCAGAATTGTAAATAACTCGAGGTAATAATTTGTGACAACTTCCTTTTTCTTTTCTTCTATATTATATGACATAAGTGGGAAGGAGGGAGTGATTAATAAAAGAAAGAGAAATAGACTTTATGTTTTATGAGCATTAGACATTTGCAAGAAGTGGGAGAGATACATTGAGGGTTTCTAAAACCAACGGAACTAAATGCTAGCTGCTGATGTTTAATGTCGTAGTTTTTGAGGATGCTTTATTTGATCATCTGATCTCTCCTTTGAGTTCCTGTGGAGACTTATTAATTGCCCTTGCATTAACTAAAAAATGAAAAACGATAAAATATAGGAAAGCAAGAGAATGAAGTGAAGGTATAGTTTCTCAGCAGGAAGTTGTCTTGTTTTAAAGTTGTGACTTATCATATATTCTCAATATTTTTCCTTTTTGATGTCCATTAACTCTTGGTATTTCAAAATTGCAGTGTTTGTGCAGTGAGTGCGCCAAAGCACTGAGGCATCAATCAAATAAGTGCCCTATATGCCGCCAACCGATTGAGGAACTTCTGGAGATTAAGGTCAACGAAGGTAAACCTAGATAATACTAAGTTTTGGTTACATTGTTTACTGCCGTTAAAGCTAATCTAAATAGTAGTATTTCTTATGAACACAGAAATGTTACGCAGTATCTAATGATTCGTGCAAGTGGCTCTATCTCTTCTGTCTTCAACCTTGACCTATTTTTTTTTCTTTTTCTGCTTTGTAGTGGCATCATAAAGCTGGGATGTTGTGACAGCCAGAATTGTAACAAGTCGAAGGTTTGGTTTTTGGTTTAATATTCGGCGTGTGATTGTATAGCACAGAGATTGTACATAATATGGTGTGAATAACAGAAGTTTTGCCAACATTTTCACCTTTTCCTTAAAGGAAAATTTAGACACATCTTTTAGTTATCCCTTTATTCTTGAGATAATTGGTTTAAGGACACCAATGTTTTTCCTCTTTTATTCTCTTTTCATTCTTATTTTCATGCGATGGAGAAAAAAGGGGTGGGAATATTTGTACTACAAGTAAAGTGGAGAAAAAAGGGGGGAAAAGCACAAGATGAATCTTGGCTTTGGCTTTACTAAGATCTTGAGAAGACAAAAGGCTGAAATGGTGTCTGAAAGTATAAGGAATCTGTTTGAATGGGAAGGATTGGTCTCTTGTGCAGAAGGGAGACAATTTTGAATGACGTTAAAGTAAAAGTGTTGATGGAATCAGTGTGCAGATCCCAAGGTTTCAACATTTGACGTATCACTGGATTATGTTGTTTATGTTCTTGACAGTAAAGGAAAAAGTATGCTTTGGACATAGCAGTTCAATTCTGCTTTAAGTTTGGGTAGAAATTACTTTCCTTCTCCACTTCCTTTTTTTGGTTTTCCACTGCAGAGTCAAAGATGGAAAAGAATATAACGAGTGTGAGATAAGACACTGAGAAGAACCAAAAGATTATGCTTCGTTTTCACGATATGCCTCTTTGCTTTTTCTCTTTATCCACATGAAAGTCCTCTAAAGCTATTTTTGTGATCGTTATAATTTTTATTTTTATGGAAAGTACTCTTTTAGAGAGTTATATTGTTTTGTGTTCTCCAAATAATGATGTAGAGTTGCGTATGCTAACTGATATTGGACCAAAAACTTTTGGAACGCCGATATTGCATGGCCTCATGTATACAGTTTTATGAGAGAACAAAATGCGACTATCATACGCACTAACTTGGACAGGTGAATGTTACTATAGAGAGAAATGGCGTTTGGACATAAGAATTGTAAAATTCTAAAATATGGTGAAATTTTTTTTCCAAGTGAAAATGGTATTTGAAATTTAGAGTTGTATTTGGACCTGAATATAATTTTGAATTATTTTTAAAGTTTTGTGAGTGCAAATTTTAGAAGACAGTTTTTTGGAGTTTTTCAAATTTTCGAAAATTTCCAACATGCATCTCAAGTGAAAATTGTAAATTTTATGAACAAACGCTTATTTTGAAAAAAAAGTGAAAATCCTTTGGAAAAAAGAAAAAAAATTATGTCGAAACGGGTTACATAGATTAGGACCTAGGAGATAAAATTTAAGAGGTGACGATGGGATTATGAGATGTACGAACTTGGAAAGGGATAAGGTAGTCATTTATTCGACAAATGAGTGTTTTTATTGATAAGGGGTGGTACTTTGTATTTTACAAAATAGGTTATCAAGGTAATCAGGCTTATAGCTTTTTCACCATTTCATTATCCCTCTACGTTTGGATATAGTTTAAAATTATCCTCTATTTCATGTTCGAATTCCGTTAGGCCAGTATATTCCTACAAGTAAGATTTGGAAATGTAATATGTACGACAATCTTATGCCTATCTTGAATAGTTTAATTCTGTGTAAATAATTTTTCATTCATTTTTCTTTAACTCTGTGCTTAGGCAAAGTTGAGTAGAAAATAAAAGGGAGGAAGTAATAATAAAATAATATAAAATAGATTCCACATTGAGTGCGTGTGTTGGATTGTGATACAAAACCTAATCCGTAAAAGGATTGGCGTGAAGTTAGCAGTGGCAACAGTGAGGCACTGTCTCCCGACAGTAGACGCGTCTCCTCCGAGACCACTTGTCCATTTCTTCAACAACAACAACAACTACCCAGTAAAGTCCCACAATAACAACTACCCACTTGTCCATTTCTTCGTTACCCACAAACGTTAGCGAGTCTCCTTCCTAGTGTCCGGCATTTCCTATTTTTTGTCCACTACTTCTTTTTTAATTTCTAAATTTATTACATGATACGTAATTTATTTGAACCTATTTAATTGATTGTATTTTTTAAGAAGAAAAAAAACTTGAATTTGTATAACTATAAATCATCTCATAAAAGGTAAAATGAAGAATTTAAAGTTTATAAAAATCATTTTTCTTCAAAATAACTAAA